TTCTACTTTCTTTTTGCTCTAGTGCATGCTATACCTCTAGGATATTAGCAAATAGAGTTTTTGGTAAATTACTCATGTTCGTGTACGGTAAGTGTTCATTTATGTTGGTTTATTAAGGTAAACAAACATTAATGAACAAATTTTAGAACTCGATTCATAAACGAACAGAGTTTTAACAGTTGTAAGGCTCGTTTGTATTCGTTTAATAATGCTCAGTGCCGTCCCTGGCCATGTTTGGCCAGGGCATACGCACAGGGCCCCCAAATTTTGGGGGCCCCAAGTCATCTAAAAGATATATTACGGCGTTAGTACTTAGTACACACATTTCATAGTTTGGTTGCCGTATGTGCCCCCAAATTTTGGGGGTACTTCCATAAAAAAAAAAAAAAAAAAAAAAAAAAAAATATATATATATATATATATATATATATGTTTTATATATTAAATTATTAGTGTTGGTATAACTCATGTATAAAGAAATTAAGGTCGGTCTAAAATTTTACAAAGTTTACATTTCTAATTCCTAAAGACTTGATTTATGTATAGAGTTATTGTCCTATAACTTAAGTAATTGAGGTGGGCCTATTTGAATATTGTAAAAATTATTATATATAAAGAGTAAAAATTACTCATATTCCTATTATAATGCATACACACAAGATTTGTATTCACAACGGAGGAACTCCATCTCAGTAATCAATAATTTGAAGTGCGTTGTTTGTGCATTTGACATCCTCACTTTTTTTTTTTTTTTTTTTTATAGATTATTATATATTTTGGTACAAATATATCTTCATTTGATTATAGTATATTTTTGTTACTTAAAATAATATCAGTTAGTCATTCTCTTCATTCTATTTTTTGTTTAGACTTTTCCTAATATAATTTTTTTTTTTGAAAGTTCCTAATATAATTTTTAAGTAATCAATTTCAATACTAATATACAAATCTTATAATTTCAAATAAATATATACTTTCAAATATTAGAATTATTTATAATTTCATCATTAATTTTTTAAATATTAGAATTGTTTATAATTTCATCATTAATTTTATTATTTAAATATATAATAAAAAAATTATCCATGTATCGCACGGGTAATTTACTAGTTTACAATTATACATAAAGGGACCTATGTTAAATTTTTGCACAGGACCCCAATATTCTTAGGAACGACCCTGATAATGTTTATAAACAAACTCAGCTCGTTTAGTGTACATTTAATAATATTCACAAACAAACCCGTTTAGTATTCGTTTAATAATGTTTACGAACATGTTCGTGAACGTTAACGAACACTAATGGACCTTAACAAACGAACACGAACATAATTTTTAAAATATTAACAAACGAACCCGAACACTCCAAAAATCTTAACAAATGAACACGAACAACCTCTCTTATGTGTTCGGTTCATTATCAACCCTATCTACCTCCACGCATTAAATAAGTAATTTACATGTATATTAATAACGATGATAAACATTGGTTGATTGTTAAATTACAGAGGAATTTTGATGTCATAACTCATAATTAATTAATTAATTATAACATGGCACGTTAAGCAGAGTTTTTACTATTTATAAATGAATATACTTCTTTCATTAGTTTTGTGTTTTGTCGATTAAGGTTTTGTGAGAATTCACAAGTCGTAAAATAAAATCTAAGATTTGATTTCTATTTGGGAAAATGGTCAAATAGGCTCTTAAACTTTACTTAAGAAGTTAATTAAGCCTTTAAACTTTTTGAAGGGCAAATTATGCCCTGGACCCGTGTCCACAATGAATTGTGGACACGGGCCCAAAACGACATCGTTTTTAAAAAAAAACGCGTCATTTAGTTAAAAAAAAAAAATTCGCGCGCGTTTTACCGTTAACGGCGTTATTTTTTTTTGGATTATGAATGTACAGTTATGCCGTTATGAATGTACAGTTATGCCGTTATGAATGTACAGTTATGCCGTTATGAAATTATGAACACAGAGCTCTAACATTATGAACTTACAATTATGAACATATATAGTGATAAAATTATGACCATGGAGCTTTAAAATTGTGAATATAGAGCTTCGAAGATTATGAATGTACAGTTATAGAGTTATGAATCTACAGTTATGGAGTTATGAATCTACAGTTATGAGATTATGAATCTACAGTTATGGAGTTATGAATCTACAGTTATTGATCAAATTATGAACAAAGAGCTCTAACATTATGAACTTACAATTATGAACATATAGTGATAAAATTATGAACATAGAGCTCTAAAATTGTGAACATAGAGCTTCGAAAATTATGAATATACAATTATGGAGTTATAAATGTACAGTTATGACGTTATGAATGTACAGTTATAGAGTTATGAATGTATAGTTATAGAGTTATGAACGTACAGTTATGGAGTTATGAATGTATAGTTATTAACATATAGTAATAAAATTATGAACATATGCTTCTATAACAAAGTGGTCTGAAATTTTTTTTTAAAAAAAAAAAAAAAAAAAAGGAGATAACAGTGCCTAACGGCACTGTTACCCGTGTCCAGCAAGCATGCTGGACACGGGTCCAAGGCATAACGATTGCTTTTTGAAGTGGTAATTAAACCCATAAACAAGTCATTTTAATGCATTGAAGCCCATAAACCGGTTTATGACCTATAATAGCAGGTCATTAGGGTTTCGATGACCCTCCGACCAACTCCGACGACTTTCTGACCAAACTCCGACAACAACCGACCAAATTTCGCCGAACCAGCGAGAAGCTAAGCCGAAGACCAGAAGGAGACCACGCCTGGGGTTGCCTTCTCCAGCGAAGCAGAAGGCCACAAAAATGGTCGCCTTCTGATCTGCCTGAAAAGGCGACAATTTCTTCGGTGCAGCAGCTTTGTTTTTTATTTCCCAACTCAAATTAATTCCTCGATTATCCAACTCACGTGAAAGCGCTATCCTTCAAATTAAAGTAAACTAACAATAATAAATAGGGGGTGCATCGGTCGGTTCGGGGCGGTTCGGGTGGGCGGATGGGCAACCCTTTCGGATTTCGGATATCATTATTTAAATCCTATTTCGTTTTTTAATCTAAGAAATCTACTCGGGTTGACTGAACTTCGGGTGGGGTCGGTTCGGTCGGATATCCGAACCAATTTCGGATAGTTCAATAATAATGAAATAAAGGAAAATCACTACAAAATTGAACAAAACAGTGTAAATATAAAAAGTTAATATAACATACATGCAATTACATTTTACTCTAACTGCAATTACATGCCAAAATACTACTAAATATGCACTTAAGTCAAAAAATTATCCTTGCAAATTGCAATTACATGCCAAAAAAGTACTGAATTTCCAAGTTCCTACTTCCTAGTCTTCCTAGAGTTTCTAATCTCTTCCTATTGTTCTTCATCTTCCTGTAAACACTCAAAACTTAAGCAAAGTTAGCAATAAGTCAAAATGCCAAATAGCAAAAATAAGTTATTGAGCAACAGAATATCATTAGACAGTTATAATTTATAAACTTGGCTCAGTAAGCTTTTTATCCATATCAAAGTTAGGATTAAGGGGAAATTGCTACAACATCCCCACGAGGATGGAGCAACATACCAGCTTAATCCCTTATTTTTCAGATCATTGGTGGAAGCTTTCATCATAGCCATAATATAATAAAAGTATAAAACATAAACAAATTGTAAAATGTGCCAACTTACCAACAATGTAACAACTTACAATGGCAGCAACTAATTTAATTAGTTACCAAGCCAGCTGCAAGCAAGCCTCATGAGTCATGAATAACAGGCAAACAGCATAAATGTATTACAGAATACATTCAAACAGAAACAGCAGTATAAAGTATAAAGTACAAAGCATAGCATTACAGGAATTGTAGCAAGTGTAGAACCACCACTCCTTCCAGTTCCACTGCCACCATCAGTCCCAATTTCTGCAACAACAAAAAATTATAAGGAAAATAGGAAATAACAATTTGTTAAAAAAAATTGAATAGAATGTGTTACCTTGTTCAAATCTCTCCAATTCCTCCAGATTTTCCTCAATTGATAATGGGGTATTTGATAGCCTAAGCCAATCCTGTGTACAGACCAAAGCTTCCACAATTTTAGGAGTTAATGAACTCCTAAAAGGATCCAAAACCCTACCAGATGTACTGAAGGCAGATTCTGATGCAACAATAGATATTGGTATAGCTAAAACATCCCTAGCTATCTTAGAAAGGATAGGAAACCTTTCAGCATTCAACTTCCACCATCTAAGTATGTCAAAAGAGGTTTCTTCTTCAAGTATTGCCTCAGCAAGGTAAATTTCTAACTCAGTTTTTTTCATTCCCCCACTCTCCAATCTTTGTTTCTTAATCTGTGACTTTAACAAATGTTGGGGCCTCCCAACTGTAGACTGTGAAAAATCAGTAGGGGTACTGACAGGAGTAGAGGCAGGAGTAGAGACAGGAGTAGAGGCAGCATAATCATTAAACAACTCTTTCAAGGCTGCAATCACTTTCTCATAGTACGGTTTACCTTTTGCCTCACCATACATGTGATTCATTTGTGTTGCCATGTACTCTAACTTGTCTCTTGGGTCTAGAATGTTTGCAAAGAATATCATCAAGTTCATTTTATCTATATCCCCCCAATATTTCTCAAATTTAGCCTTCATATTTTCTCCCATCAGTTGCACAGACCCTCCAGCTTCCACCATGCCATTCAAGAGGCAGTATAAATCAGAAATTTCAGAAAAGAAAGTGTTAGAAGTGACATATAAAGAACCAGAAATTCTTATTGTCATATCATAAAAACATTTCAAGATCTCCACCAAACTCTTCACAGACTCCCAATCAAGAAAAGTAGGAACAACATCAGACAGATCTGCTTTGTAGGCAGTATCACTTTCTTCAAGTGACTCAAACACTTTCTCATAAATAATTGCAGATTGTAACATAAGATATGTAGAGTTCCATCTGGTTGGAACATCTAGACACAAAGATGATTTCTATTCAATCCCATTCCACTCAGCCAAGTCCCTAAATTTCTTAAGTCTAGTAGGTGAACTCCTCACATATCTTACAGCCTCCCTTACCCTCTTCACAGAAGAATCACATTGTTTCAAGCCATCTTGGACAACAAGGTTCAGAATATGGGCAATACATCTCATGTGAATATACTTGCCCTTCACAGTAGATGTTCCCCAAGACATCAATTTCTTTTTTAAAAAACCTATAGCAGTGTCATTAGATGAAGCATTGTCTACAGTTATACTATACACATTCCTAATCCCCCAATCAAGCAAACAGGTTTCAAGGACTTTTGCTACAGCCTCACCCTTATGTGATGTAATAGGGACAAATGAGATAATCTTCTTGTTAAGCTTCCACTCTTCATCTATAAAATGGGCAGTCACTACCATGTAGTTAATTCTCTGAATAGAAGTCCAAGTGTCAGTTGTAATACTGACTCTTTGAGTGTTCCCCCTAAAAACACATTTCAACTTCAATCTTTCCTCTTCATAAATCAGATTGATGTCCCTACTAATTGTCCATCTAGATGGAATCTTAAACCTAGGACAAGCCACCAGAATGAACTTCCTAAACCCTGGACCCTCCACAAATCTAAAAGGCAGTTCATCAATTATAATCATTTCAACCAAGGCCCTCCTAATAGCTTCCTGGTTAAAGACCCAAGTTCCTAACTCACCAACAGTAGCAGGAGATGCATCAGAATTTGTAATAGCTTGAAAGGTTAATAGTGATTGTCTAGTGTCTTTAGAGTGGGGGTTTTTCAGACAGCTAAGCATGTGGTTTCTCAAGGAGGTAGTACCATGCTTTTTAGACTGACATTGATATATTTTGGCACAATATATACACTTGCCTTTGATAGTAACACCAGTACTATCCTTAATTTTTTCATAATGATCCCACACTGGAGATCTGGACTCAACAATCTTCCTCTTCTTCTCAGGAACTGCAGTAGTAGGTTGCACATTCTGTTGATTATTTGTGTCAACAGTTTGGCCTTCCACCACTGTAGACCCATCAATTGAAGATTTAGAAGGTTGACTTCCAGACTCTATGATATTTTCCATCTAAGTAAATGGAATACCATCAGTATAGTGGTCACTACTCAGTGGGAAACATATTGAACAAGTACAGATATTCAGATAGTCACAGACAACTGAGAGAAATAGAGAAATCCAGAATCAGAAGACAGGCACCTCTTAACTTCATCATTTTTCTAAATTTCATAGTTGGGACTTTAAGAAATTAACTATTAAGGGTCATGCATCCATAAACTTATAACTTATAAGTTATAATCTATACAGGCATACAGTGATACAATCACAGTATCACATAAATCACACAAAGTGACAAAGAAATCCAGTAATCAGGAACCTGTTAGCCTGAACACTTTCTCATCATTTTACTGGATTTAAGAGTTGGTAGTTACAATTGGGGCTTCCACCAATCCACCATTTACACCAACACAGGCAACATCCAATAGCCAACACTCAACAGGGGTTACTGGGTTAGAGACTTAGGGGCTTCCACAAACAATACAGACAATCACAAACCACATACTCATAGAAACCCAAATCACAGTATCAAAAATTCACAACTAAGGGACAAGTGACATCAGAATCCAGAACTTCTCAACAGATTCACATTGTCACAGTCCACATAAATGACATAATCATAGAAACCCTAATCGCAGTATCAAAAATTCACAACTAAGGGACAAGTGACATCAGAATCCAGAACTTCTCAACAGATTCACATTGTCACAGTCCACATAAATGACATAATCATAGAAACCCTAATCAAAGGATCAAAAATTCACAACTAAGGGACAAGTGACATCAGAATCCGGAACTTCTCAACAGATCCACAGTGTCACAGTCCACATAAATGACATAATCATAGAAACCCTAATCAAAGGATAAAAAATTCACAAATAAGGGACAAGTGACATCAGAATCCGGAACTTCTCAACAGATTCACAGTGTCACAGTCATCAGAATCATACAATCACAACTAACACCAAAGTATCACAACATATAAGAGTATAATCTAAGTAAGTCTAAGATTAGGGTTTAGAGATTACTTCGTTTCTCCAAATCAAACCCCCGAGAACAAAGGGCTTCAAATCCGCTAGACCGTGAGTCCGTGACAGCACTGAGCACTCTACAATCCACCGCACCGGCCACCGGACACCGGTCGTCCAGAATAGGGCTTCCACCGAACAATATTACCTAGCTTCCACGAGTTCCACCGGAGACTCACACTCTCAGCTTCCACCGAACAATATCACTCTTAGTCTCTAGAAGAAACTCAGAGAGAACGAGAAAACGAAGCGTCTCACTCTCTCACATAATCAGAGAACTGGAGAAGAAACTCACGACAGAACGAGTATCAGATTTCAGATTTTCAGATGAGAAAGACGAGACTCACGAGAGAACGAGTGGAATGGCTAGGGTTTCCAGAGAGTTCTCAGAGGTCAGAAGAAAGAAGAGGAAGCTGCGCAAATGAGGGTTTCCAGAGAGTTCTCCATCGAACGCAACACATATATACATCGCTAGGACGACGTCGTATACCTTAGGGTAAATGAACCCTTACCCTAATTCGGGTAATCGGACGGGTTCGGGGGGGAATTTATAAGCCCCAACCCGCCTCCTCCAAACCGGCTTATTTCCGTAGAATCGGTTCGGTTCATGCTGTTCGGGTTCGGATTGCCCCAAATAGAGCTTAAACGGGTTCGGGTCGGTCGGGTAATTCGGGTGGGTCGGTTTTTGCACACCCCTAATAATAAACACTAAAGGAAAGGATGTTGCCGTGAGATGTTTGTTCCTGCGTGGAACTTCGCCGATGCCAAACAAATTAATTCCAACCACCCATAATCGGCTGTTGCAGTGAAAAATCCTTTGTTGCGTTTCGAATCAGAAAATCTTAGTTGCTGCCCAAAGAGAAGCTGCCTCCGTCTGAATTAATTTGAGTTGAGGAAATAAAAAACGAAGCTGCTGCACCGGAGAAATCGTTGCCTTCTCAGGAAGACCAAAAGGCGACCATTTTTTTTGTGGCCTTCTGCTCCGCCGGAGAAGGCAACCACATGCATGGTCTCTTTCTGGTCGTCGGCTTCTCGCAGGTTCGCGGGGATTTGGTCGGTTGATGTTGGAGTTTGGTCGGAAAGTTGCCAGAGTTGGCCGGAGGGTCACCGGAACCCTAATGACCTGCTATTATAACTCATAAATCAGTTTATGGGCTTCAATGCACTAAAATGACTTGTTTATGGATTTAATTGCCACTTCAAAAAGTTTAAGGACTTGATTGATTTCTTGAGTAAAGTTTAAGGGCATATTTGACCTTTTTCCCTTTTCATTTAAAGTATATAATTGTAGCTATGATGCCTAGAAACTTAGGGTGTCTTTAGAAATCATAAAATTGTTTTCTAAAATTTAAAATAAGTCATTTTCTAGAAAATATTTTCCTTTTCAGTATTTGATTGCATTTTGGAAAATTGTCTTAATGTGTTTGGTTTATATTTTAGAAAATGAGTATACTTGTATAATTAAACATTTTAATTGTTTTATTTAAAATATAAAAATATTTATAATAATATTAAAAATAATGTTATTTATTAAAAAATCTATGATTTCCTGAGGAAACTAGAGTACTAGTTTCTGGTGGAAACCAGACCAAGGCTGTGCTCATCGGTGTAGAAAACTAGACCAAGGCTGTGCTCGTTGATGTAGGAAACTATACCAAGGTTGTGCTCGTCAATGTAGCTGTGGTCTGTGGAAAATAACTTTCGTCAAATTTTGGCGGAAATCATTTTCCAAAAAACAACATTGTTTTCCCTTGACTGGAAAATGATTTTCATTGACTTCGATTTTCAGACTCTGCCAAACACTGGAAACCCGAAAAATGATTTCCAGATTTCCAAACACACCCTTAACCTCAAGAATGACTTACATGTCTCTTAAACTTTTTTCACACAAATTTACAAAATTGTTATAAAATGTTTCAAAGTTTCCTATTTGCGTACAGTTCAGACTTTAAATGATGTGTGTGTGTGTGTGTGTATATATATATATATATATATATATATATATATATATATATATCTACTATACTAATAAGAGTCCAAGAGAGTTAGGCCTATAATGGGTAGAAAAAATGGCGGTCACAGATTTTAATCAAATGAATGGCTCAGATTAATTAAAAGATTGATCAGATTTAAATTTTACACTAAAATTTTCTAAAATACCCACACATCGTTACTAATTCCGTTAAAATTTTAAGAATTGCCGTTAGTTCACCGTTAACTTACTCATTGATTTCAATAATAATAATAAAAAAAAAGGTCTTAGGTTCGAACCTCATCCCAATCAAAGTTGGCATAATTAGTACTCTATTTTACTCTTATTAAATCTACAATTTTAATAAGAGCGAATAATATTAGGCCCTTAACTGGAATAAAAAAAATGTCGGTACTAATTGTTTCTTAAAACGAATGGTTCATATTATTTTGATTTTAGTATTTTTAATGATTTTCCTTATTTACCCTTTATTATATTATTTTCTTTCCTTAAATAACCTTAAATTCCGTTAGTATAAACTTTATTAACGGAATATTCCGTTAACTATTTACTATTCTTAACTTACTTATTAATTTCTATAAGAAAGGTCTTAAGTTCGAACCCTATTTCAATTAGAGTTAGCATAATTGTTAAACATATACCACGAATATGTTAAAATGTATTAAAAATATAATATAAAATTTAACATGAATTTTGGTCAAATAATTAGCCCGACTAAATACATAGCATTCAATGATTATAAATCAGGAACTTTGAAAATCATTTGATTTTTTTTATTAAAAAAATAATAAATTTATGTTTAGTTTTTTTTTTTTTTCGTTTAATTAATCTTCTTTTGATTATTGAGAACAAAACTTAATATTTCAATTATGCTTTTATCAATGCATGAAAACTTCTAAAGAAATTTGTAAGTTAATTTTTACTACATTATTATAAAAATATCTATTGTAATATTATATTTTGAATTATTTATTATCATCATCTATTAACAGCAATTGTCATTGACAAACTCTCAAAACAATTTGTCTCAACAACGAATGGAAATAAAAAAAAATCAAAGATTTTATTATTGTTGATGAAAAGTATGTACGCCACTTTATTCAATCGTTATGCTGTGGAACTGTGTCCTCCTTGCAATGTGGACACGGTTCTATGTTCATAATTACTGAATTATATGTTTATAATTATAAAGTTATATATTTATAATTTTTGAACTTCATATTCATAATTATTGAACTTTATATTCACAATTATTGAACTCTATATTCACAATTACAGAACTCTATATTCATAATTACTGAATTATATGTTCATAATTATAAAGGTATATATTCATAATTTTTTTAACTTCATATTCACAATTATTGAATCTCTATATTCATAATTACAGAACTATATGTTCACAATTATGTTCACAACTCTATGTTCATAATTATAGAACTATATGTTCATAATTTTTGAACTATATATTCATAATTATGAACAGTTTTAGAACCATGTCCACCTTGCAATGTGGACACGGTTCCATAGCATAATTTGCCCACTTTATTGCTCTTATTACTTAAATTTAAAAATAAATTAGTAGCTACAACACAAAATAATACATATGCATTTAATTAATTTAGAATTAGATGTCTTACAACACATGAAACATGTAGGGAAAAATTATCACTATAAAATATCAACATGTGCTTGTAAGATAAAAAGTTCATAGCACAACTGAGATCTCAGTCATATACACAACAAGACAAATCTAAAACTTCATACACCATAATCTCATTGCATGATGAATTCCTCTATGATGCCACCAATAACCCAATTGCACATGACGCACTACCAATAACAGAAAAAAAGGACATGTACTGAAGATGAAAACAATAACAATGCTACCCAAAAGAGAATTAGAAATTTAAACAACAAAGAGTATTTAGTTCGACTGTCGCTTTTAGACTTAGTACTTAGATTAACGTTATTACAAAGTTGCTTACATT